ACTGTAATAAAAAATAGAAAATAACTGTTAAAATATATATACATATATACATTCTGATGTAAAAGCAGTGAAACTGTGTATTTTTACAGTCACACATTGTAAAAGAATAAACCCCCTTTTGTAAAAAATACTGATTTTCAGTGTGACCATTTGTACAGTTTTGGCTTGTACAAAGAAAATCTGTAATTTTTTATAAATAAAGATTTTTCATAATGACATGCTATACAGTGTTGACATGTTTTTGATAGGAAACTTTTAAATGAATACTTTATTATCTGTAATTTAACAAAACAGGGGAAATTTTGTCATATAACAGTAAATTGTTTTTAAAAAGTGGCAGATTAACTGTTTCAAACATGAACTGTTTACAGTGCAGTCTACTGTGTCTGGGGCAGATCATTTTGTTGCCCAGTTATGTGGTTTATATTCAGGCTATTCTAGACTATACAGCCGCAGAAAATGTAAAAGTAATTTTTAACAGTGAAGAATATGACAAAAATATAGAAAAAAGGACGAGTGCCATAAAGTACAGCTAGTTATGTTTGTTTGTTTATCAAACTACTAACAGCTCTTGAATATTTACTGAAAGAAAACCTGTGTTACTTTATGGAAGACATTAAGCTATAATTCCTTCTGCAACTAACTACATGTAACATTTAACTCCTATTTTGAAAGGTACCTTTTTTAAGAATGCCGTCCTTGTGTTGGACATTATTGATTGTCTCCATGGCCGGTGCTACTTCCTGGGTTTTACTGTCCTCTGATTCACAAACATGATTTTCCACTGGCTCTTCTGGTGGCCCAGTGTTAGCTACTTTACTGTCCTCTGTGCATGTTTCCTCCAGTGCAGGTTTAAGCTCCTCACTGGGAGAATCACTGAAGTTAGTGGCTGGTTCCTCAGAAGCCACTGGACTGGTTTTCTGCTCTTCGGGACTAGTTGCAGTTACAACATTCATTGCTTTCTCAGTTACACATGTTGCTGCCTGGTCTCCAATATCCCCACAAGACTCTTCTTTCTTTGATTTCACGTTCGATGTCTCTGGCACCTCCAAAGAAGACGCAGATGGTGATATATGCTCCTGTACTGATTCTACTGCTGCAGACTCTTTGGGACAGGATGCAAACTCCTCCAGCTCAGAGAGGTCTGGCTCAATGATGGAGTCATCTTCTCCTCCCACTTCATCTACAGTCACCAGTTCCTCCATGTTCTTGGGGTACCAGCACTCCTCATCCGAGTCTTCTCCACTCTCCGACTCCTTCTCCTGAGGACACGGATCAAGAAAAGAGCTGTTAATACTCCACAGAGTCCATTTGTTTAAGCTGTGCTCTTGAATGCTTGTGACTCAAGCTTACTTACAGTGTCTTTACTACATTCAGTCGCCTCTTTTGACTTATTGCGTCGTTGAGGTGAAACTGATTTTTCCTTCGAATGGCGATCCTGTGAAAAGAAAATATTTGCTAGATGGCTGTGGCAGATGCAAAGCAACAATAACACACATTTACAAAAGTTACTCACGGTATTTTCAGTCGTATTTTCTCTCTCGTGCTTCTCTGCTGTCGTGTACCTCCTGCTGCTTCTTCTACTCCTGCCTCTGCCTGGTGAACTCTGCCTCTTGTCTTCCAACGCTCTGCAAAGTGCTTCGTCGGTCATCTCAAATTCTGAATGTCTTGACCTACTGTGGTAGTCGCCACCGTCCCTCCTCTTTGACTTTGTTTCGTGCCGTTGGTACGGAGGCCTGGGCGGCTTGTCGGACTTGTACACTTGTTCCATGTAGAAGTCGTCCTCCATGTTCCTGTACGAGTTGAAGGATGAGCCTTGAGGGCTTCCTCGTTGGTGCCAGTCTCTGCTGCCCTTCATCCCTTCGCCTCCTCCTCCTCCTCCTCGTTCGTCCGCAGATCTCAGGCTGAGATGATCTAAGGGTTTCTGGTAGGTCTTCCGACGGTCAGACGCCCGTCCGTTCGGCCGATCATCGTCCACGTTGCTCCCATTCCTCCATGGGTCATCTCGCTCCCTCGGCCAATCCCAGGAGCTGCGATGGGGGCCCAGGCCGTTGCTGCCTCTCTCTGGACCCCTGCACTGAGCTCCTTGAGGGCTGTGGGCTGAGCTGCATGATGTGAAACTGGGGCTGTGGGAATGAGGACTCAGAGAGCGGCTGATGGGGCTGCGGGAACGTGCTCTCTCCGGCATGTAGCTGGAGAAAGATGAGGAACATGGAGGAATCTTCTAAAGCTGCTGCCATTTTTTAATTTTGGAAGCATCACATTGATTCAACCAAAGTACTTGAGACATGAAATAGGATGAAAGGTTGCCTTACTGTTCAATTTCTTGCATCTCATCCCTCTCCCGCTGTGAGGTGATATCCTGGATGATTGACTGAACATCTTTGCCTGGTTTCTACACGGAAGAAAACATTCAACTTTACTAGGCGCCTAACACGACACAACCTGCTGTTTACTTTCTTCTTCAGCTTTACCTTGAGTTGCAGCTCCTTGTACCTCTTAGACATTCGTATGAGGAGCTTCTGAGTGTTGATCGTAGCTGGAGTAAGTTGGTAGTATTGAACCATGGCCTGAGCTGCCTCGACGTACGCCATCTCCAGAAACGCCTGAAGGGAAAACAGAGAGTCGCTATCAACAATAACACACCCTTCTGACAGCTTCATCCTGATCTGGTCGAACATATTTCACATTTCAGATGACAGATAATCTGTAAAAAACATCATCGTGATAAGGGATCGCATTTTACCACTATAATAAATCACCAGAACAGTTGCTTTGGTCTCCGTGATTTCAGTATGAATGCTTTGAATCTGATAGGGGGAGATATTCGTGTTCTGTCAAGTGAAACCTTGAAACATTAGTGAGCTGTCAAGCGCTGGTAGTTAAACAGCCAGTAAGTTATGACAAAGTACATGATATCGCATAACAGCTGCAGCGGGAGAAAGATGCAGATAATCATAAAGACGTACAAAGATACAGTGGTGATTTGCCTCCTGACATATTTGTTTCAAGCAAAGATAAAATTGGAATCAACACCTTTAATGGAGCTCACATGTCAGGAATGAGCAGGATGCTTAAGATGATTTCGAGTTTGGCAGCATGTAATTAAACACAGTGCTGCATGGATTAACCCTCATCCCACCGACATATTTAACATTCAAGGACTTGGCTTCCCAGAGACCGCAAGAATAAAGTACTAAAATAAACAACCATCACAGTATAGTGCAGAGGAGGGAAGTAACTAAGTACAAATACTTTGTTACTGTCCTTAAGTAGATTCTGAAGGTATCTGTACTTTACTTGAGTGTTAATTTTCTGATGACTTTTTACTTGTACTTCCTACATTTGAACACAAATATCTGCACTTTCTACTGCTTACATTCTCCAAACTGTCTCGTTACTTGTTTCAACCTCTGCGGACGACAACATGACGTAAAAGACGTAACAACAAACGTCTTTATCTTTCCCAGCAGTGTGCAATCTGTCCCTGAAGCTCAACACAGCCCTGCCTGCCTCAGCTGCTATGCGAGAGGCTTTTTGGCACTGCAGGACTGATTTTCAGAGCCAAAAGGGCAAAAACTTTGAGAACCAGCTTCTACTGAGGCTCAATAAAAGATGTTGGTAGTCTTGAAGAGATGAGTGTTTCCATATTGACTATAATGTTTAATGTTCATAATGTTGCTGAAATGGAAAACTGTCCTGTGATGTTTTTCTCTGAACCAGCGCTGTGCAAAAGGCCGAAAACAATCCTATTTTGTGTGCTTAAAACTTTTTTCATTTTGCAGAGTTATCAAAAGAGCCTTTCATTGAAGCTAAAAAATTCATTTTTACTTTTGTACTTAAGTAAATTTCTGAACCTGTACTTTTTTGCTTTTACTTGAGTAAAGAAGTTGAGTCAGTACTTCTACTTTTACCAGAGTCTATTTTTACACAAGTATCTCTGTTTCTACTTAAATAAAGAATGTGAATGCTTTTGCCATCTCTGGTAGAATGTCATCTTATTTCTTTTCAAATTAACTAAGTTCATGTAGAAAAAAAAAGTAAGATTATTGAAATTTTAGGAAAGTTAATATATGCTCTTCTTCAGTATTAGTCATTTACTTGTGTCTGTCTCCTTCATAATGACTGGCATCAATACATTGGTACTTCTAACAACTACTAATAAAGACAGAAAAAGGTCAAATAATGACGTGAAATCATTAGGAACAAAGTCATGAAAAAATGGAGTAATAGAGTCAAGCACCTGTAAGAATTGCAAAAAACATCTTCGTGTCCTAGTCAGTAAGATTACAGGCTTATCACTACATACAGTACAGTCAGCCTCTCATGTATTCATCCCCTTCCATTAAAGAAAAGGTAAAATTCACAATAGTCACTTAAATAACTAGAAACTGAAAAAAGTAATAACAAATAAAAATGTGCTAAATTATAATTTAGTGAAATAAGACTTTTTGAATTGTGATTGAAAAGAATAATTAAAAAAACAAGCAAACAAAACGGTCACTGACATATGAGAGCACTTTGCTGATGAGCAGTGAAATTAAAATACCTGTCAGCAGGTGCAGAAGTCTGACTGAGAGTTACAGAAAACACTTGATGGCAGTGATTGGCTCAAAGGGTTGTTCAACTAAATATTAGTTTACAGATCCCATCATGCTTGTTTGCTTGTTGTTGTTGTTGTTGTAATATATATCTGTTGAGCCACAATTCAAAAGCAATGTCATGATTTTCATGAAATTTTTATTTATTATTACATTTGTCAATTTCAACTTACTTCAATGACAGCTGTTTTCTTTCCTTCTTTAATGGGAGGGTATGAATACATCTGAGGACCACTGTATGTCTGATAAGCAGCTGCCCTACAATAACACGTGTAAATGCCAAAATAAAGAAAATGACTGCGGCCGATGTACAATGCTTATGTCAAAGGTGGAGGTTAATCTTCTTGTACTAATGCAGTCCTAATACTAATGCTCTTGTTGTTCTAAATATGCATTGGGGGAAAAAAATATGATATTGATGCATTTATGATCATTTGCAAGCAATAAACAAAATCTGAAAGTTAGTTGATCAATGTGAACAACATACTATCACTGCCTGATAAATAATCAGAATATTGTACCTGATGGGTAGAGCGCATTAAAATGTAGTTGGTGACTTTGCCGAAGGGTAGTCCCAGGTTGATGACGTCATTCTCTGTGCAGCTGCCTTCGGGGAGGTTGCAGATGTGAACAACTCGGCCTACGGTGGATTTTCTGGGTGGAAATGGCTGCAAATGAATAGAAAAAATAAATAAAAGATCAAACTCTGTTGGAGCCGTGAAAACTGCTGCTCAGCCTTCGCACCAGTTCATCAATATTTACACACTCACATCCTCGCCAAAATTAAAATCACTCCATCCTGTTTACAAGGCTATTAACACCCTGACCAGTGAACGCTGTGCTGTGTTCAGGTGTCAACTTTAGTGTGCAAACCTGTCAGTCCCATAATGAGCAGAGGACTGCTGAGATACAGAGCGCAGCCACCTAAACCAGCTGATGGTCAGTGAATACAGTTCCAGCGAGGACGCTCCAAACACAGTGTCGGATTCCCTGTTTATAAGACCTGACATTTAATTATGACAGCTTTGTTGGAGAATTTATATGAAGCTATGTGGCCACTTTCCATTTTTTTCACTGATGAATGGCTTTACTCTCAACAGAGAACTGAACTGTGGGCATATCAACAAAAAAAGCATGCTGAATTGTGTTCAGATGTTGGGAAGTTGCTGCATTTTTTTGTAACCGATAGAGGACTGGTAGTTGTTTGCGGCGTGTACAGCGGCTGGGGTTGTCCACAACATCGTACAACCTCAGAGTTTATTTTGTTACATCCATTAGTGTTGTTATGGTGGAGTCAAGTGTTGTCTAGTAGTGTTGATTTTCTATCACTGACTGCGGTGTGTGTGTTCATTTTCAACTCTCTATAGTGTTGAAATAACTCACTTTCAAACATGCTAAATTAACAGTCAAAAGTGGACGTTTTTCTAGTTAAATGCAACACTCTCAGGGTTAATTAAACACTGGCGAAGTGTCTGTGTGTATCAATCATACTGTAGAAACCTGGTCTGTGTAACATCAGTGCAACACTATCACACAGGACGTCATGCCATTTTCTCTCCTTGAAACCGTCCACCTCACTGCGTCTATTAATAGCTCTTTGGCAGTACTGTAGCAGTGATAATAAAAGTTTTCTTGTTTGGATTTAGACACTTGTCAGCTGACTGACTCCAGATATTTCACACATCTGACACAAATCTCTCTACACTTGAAAAAGTAACTTCTGTTACCACTGTCTAATTGAATGCACGGTTGCAGGATATTTTATTTATTTGTATTTTTTTTTAACATTTTACTAATTTAGACAAACCTGCTGAGTTGCATTGACATGACAATCTTGGTTAATTACACCTGATATGGTGCATAATTTAAACAGAAATCTCCATTAATTGTGATTTAAAACAAAATTCAAGTTGTAGTAAATTCAATAAAATGGTCTAACAATAACATTTTTCTCCACTTTGCGATTTTAGGTCCTTAAAAACCAATTATTAAGTAATAGTTAATGAAAATACTGTTGATTGCAGATGAAAGGCTAATTCCTCTAACTCATTCGTCGGTTTAAACACAATTCGACTGACTGATACAAAGGATTGTGTTCATTTTTATGTCTTCAGCCTTTCAAGTGTCGGCTGCTGAGTATAGTAACTTTCATTACACAGCATCTTTTTGTCCTTCCTCCTTTTTTAATCTGAAAGAACAGCGGGTAATTGAAGGGTAACTTACTATTTTTTCTTCATGGAACAACACTACAGACCGGACTGCAGAGACAGAACAGATGAGGTAATGGTGTCTGTTTTGGATTTAGATGTTGCGTTATTATGTTACATGTAGCAGCCTTGTTCCATTTACTTGGGATAATGTATTGCTTTATTTGTGTAATTCACTTGTGTAGCGTCTCTTTTAAGTCAGATTAAGTTAACAGTCTTCCTTTCGTTCTCTGTCGGATTTTATTTCAGGTTTATTTCTCCCAGCTCACGTATTCTGCAGCTTCCTCTCCTCCCCAGCTGCAACTATTTATCCTTTACCTCCATCTGTCCCTTTTTTTTTTTCAGTCTCTTTCTCTGCCTGAAGCAACTTTCAGACAGCAAGTTTGACAAAGATACTCTGCAGAACAAGCTCCACCAAGATGTTGTAACTCGACTGTATGTGTAGAAGGATCATTGAATGCACCTTCTTTGCCTCCTGTTAGTAGCTGTTTACCAGTTCATCCCCTGACTATACATTGTGAAAATGCAAAGTCTATATCCATCATCAAACTAGCTGGTGAGCATGCCGTTTGACACCTCATGTTCCTCTGACATCACTGCAGAAAGCGGTTGTAAATTCAGCTTGTTATATCTCGGAGTCTTATTTCTGCAATTTGTGCTGCAACTGCAATTTTTCCAGTTCCCCTCCTCCTCCTCCTCCCGCTTCGCTGGCTGACAGACCTGACGGACAGTTCCATGTGTGGGACAGACTGGCGGTGCTGTTCCCCTTTGGACCAGCAGCCAGGGTCTGGTTTTTACAGGGAATTTGTCCAGGGAAAAATCCAACAATAACACACACTGCCCTTCACTAAAGCGAATAAAGAGGAGGAGGCGATTGATAAGTGGAGCCAGAAAAGGGGGGAGTTAGTCATTAAACTGGGGTGTATACTGTCTGCTTGCTCGTGTACAACTCGAGATTCTCTACATTTTGAACAGTTATTTCTATTCACAGACTAATGGTTTCTGGCCAGCACGCTGACATTAACAGCTCCAGATGCAAGAGTGATAATTCTATTAGGAGCTCCATGCCAGTTCCACCGCCACCACCAGAGTACAGAAAGGTCAATGCAGGTTGGGCTCAATAAACAGATCCAGGAATAGGCTGTTTATGTCCTTGGAATATTATAGAGAACAAGCGTCTTGGTCGCTGCTCGCTGCACGCTCTAACGTCTGACTTGTAAAATGTTGTCTGTCTCTGAAAGCACCAGACGCTTTGACCACGGCAGTAATATCACTCTCAAGGTTGGCTCAGGCTTCGAACAGTAGCTGTTTCTGTGGACCGCAGACCAGAAGCGCAGAGTTACGGTGTCATTGGCTCCTCGCAAGGAGGTACGACACGTGCTGCCAAGGCCTCCTTAAAATGCAGATGGGGCTTGTGACACGTGGAACAACAAAAATAAAAAAGTTTGGATAAGTGAATCGCCCACACAGAACAGCTCGGGTCCACGAGAGCTTGAGGTAATCATTTAAAAACACATCTGCAGGAGTGGAAATATTGTTTTGCAGTGATACTGAGGGCTGATCAGCTTTAAAATAAATAAATAAATAAATAAATAAATAAATAAATAAATCTCATCAATAAATTGACAATTACCTATGATGTGGATGTTCTTTGTGTAATTACAACTTTATTACCATTTCTCTATAAATGAGGATTTATTACACTTGTGGGTTTAAAATGTTCAGCTGACAACATAGTTTTAGCCTAAAGAAGAGTTATGAAAAAATAAAGCCTTTATATATTCAGTAAATCAATTTGCACCCCACAGAACACATTAAAGTAAACAGTGCTAATCCAGGTACATCATTTTGGTTCTAAAAATGTTCTGAGAAAGTTCTGCAAAGTTCTTGTGCTGTTTTCAGCAGAAAGTTTCATTTTAGTTCCCAATAAATTCTCCCGAAAGGCAATATTCTTAAAATATTTTCCGACTGTTGCATTGAGAACGTTCTTCCCTTGTTATCTTGTAACATTGTGGGAAGAACTTTCTCCCAAAACATCCTCACAATATTACAGACACAATATTCCACCTTTGTTATTGTGTCACATTACAAGAACATTTTATAAAACATATAAAACAACAACAACAACAACAATAATCATTGTCATTTGAGGTATTGAGAACATCTTGACAACATTTATGTTAGTATTGGTTCTGCTTTTGTTATCATGCAACATAACTGGACAACATCCTCTAAACATCCTCTAAATGTTAAAACATTCCGTCTTGGCAAACTTTTAACCTCCTGACTTGAAATGATGAATATCCTTAAAACTTTTTGTTTTAGTTAACTTTAGTCTCAAAGGAACATTATTTTTTAATTTATAAATATAAAAACAATAAAATCTTTAAAACATGTCTTCTTTAAATTATTATTAGAACCTGTAGGTTATATTAGCCAATGTTGTGGAAACGTTCCCTGCTTGCTGGGATTGACTTTACCTCCTCTCCTGCGTTCAGCCGTATATTCTAAACTTTACACTCTCGATATTATGACCTTGCAAACAAGACCCAAATGGCGTAAAGCGATAACAACCATTTCACGCTGCGCTTTCGCTGCTTTCACTGACAGCGAGCTGCCCGACATCAGCTGGAATCTCTCCTAAGGACGTGTCTGTTTATTTGTACAAAGTAGGATCCATGTTGGAGGATCCGGGGAGATGGTCAGTTTGGTTTCACAGTTTCTCCCCACGTTCCTGTGCAGACTGCTCGCACCATTCCACGGATCACTTTACCAGTCTTTCACCAGACTGAAACTTTACACCGCTGCCTGGGGGTGTGACCCAGGGGTCTTTAGGTCTGTGCTCCTAACAGCAGTTAGCTGTAATCCTGTGTTTATCTCTGTTCAAGTTCTGCCGCAAGACGCTACTGTGTGACTTCAGGCTGGACAATGCAGCTCAAACTGGCTTGTAAAGATACAGACAGACATGTGTAAGCTTACATGTACAGATAGTGATAAATGTTGCTTGTCTTTAATATGGTCACAAAATCAACAGAAAGTCCTGCTTTAATTTACTTTACCCAAGTTTTTTCTTTTAGTTTGAATTCTACAAATATTATGTTAAATGTAATTAGCTTTTAGCATTTTTCTTTCATATCTGCATGCTCACAAAAGCTGTTAAATACACTGAAAACCTCACAAATAACCATTGCATGTTGTGGTGTACGTGCATATGGGAGCTCTAAGTCCGACGCACGGCTTTACAAACAGTAAAACCACATGTTATGCTTTGACAGGTGTGTGTTTATAGCAACTAACATTAGCTCATGTAGCACAGCCTATAAATACTTCCACCGTAATACAATAAAATCCTTTTTCAATAACCGTCCAGTGAAGCATCTGACATATCACATAAATAAGTTCAGGGTCCTGTTAAATAGATTCTCTTGGCGACGAAGGAAAGAACAAACGGCTGATACAAAACGCAGTCACGCACATGGAAGAAGCGGCTTTGCAAGCGAGAGGGGATGTAACTGAAACGACGTGACATCAAAATCTGGATCGGCCTCGTTCGGTCATAAAATCCTTTATTCTCACAGCTTTAATGCATTCTGTACAAACTCTAATATCGTATTAAAGCTTATATTTCACTGCACAAGTTCTGTTTCACTGGGCAAATTATTTTTTAATTCACCATTGAGTTGTTATTTTTTTGATTGAATTTATCTTAATAAATGTAATTTCTATTTATTTATACTCTTTAAAATGCACAGTGTTGCATGAGTATGTCAAAACTACACTTTGTGCATTGAGTTTAGATGATGAGTTGAAAAGTTAAAGATCGAAATGATGAACTGCATCTGCAACAAGTGGCTTAAAAAAATTTCCCAGAGATTATGTGGACGTCTAACATTCCAAATTTTTGTGACCTCGGCACAAATAAAGTAAGATTTGTGCAATTTTATCTCTTTATTATTTGTGTTATCAGCTGGATTTTGTTAAAATGCTCTGAACTCTATTTTATTTAATTGAAAATCTGAAAAATGTCAACAGAATTAAATATGTTAGGCTAAAATACAGGGAAAGGATTTTTTAATTAAGATACTGGTGCATGTAAAATATATATATCAGAATGTAATCAATAGTGTGGCTTTATTATAAAGCAGATAAAAGTAGATGCAGATACATATTGTGATTGTGCTTTTTTTTTTTTTACATGACTTTAAAATCTAAGCGACAGAATGATGCGTTTCACAGAGTTAGCTAAAATAAATAATGTGAATCCCGTACAGCGTGTTAGGTTTGTGTCCGTAAGCAGTTCGGAGCTCCTACATGGCGAGCGTATTAATGCCCACTGACTGTTGAAAGCTTCATGCTGGGAACCAGCAGCAGTGCAGGTTTGCTGGGGGCTAATTTCGGGCACCTTTCACCTCACTTATCATTTGCACTGCGCTTTTCATGATGGACGCCTATCAACAGCTGCTGTTTTTCCACCCGAGTCAAAAGCCAACTCTTCAGACAGTCTGTGGGGCTGCAGTTTTGAAAGCTAAGCTCCTAGGAGCACTCATAATTAATTGGAATTTCAAATGACGTGTTGAGATGAACATTTATCTTCCTTTCTGGGAAACCTGCAACTTTCTCAAATGGGTTGTATTAGCACTTTAAACTGTAATTAAACTGTTAAATTTAAGTGTATGTACAAATCGGAGGGCCGAGTGTGAAACTGAAAATAAAACAAAATCTATGTTTAAACAAGCTTCTGTGTGTATAATAAGAATAAAACTTTCTGGACTAATGCTTGTCGCAAAAATTTGTTGCCTGTACTGAGTAAAAAAAAAAAAAAAAAAAAAAAAAAGCTAATGCTAATAAACACGTGTTCTGTGTGTGTGATTTATTGGGAGCGTGGGCCTGCACAGAGCCTGTCCAGACAGCTGCTTTAAGGCTGTTTCTGGAACTGTTTCTGTTCTGAAAGGCAGAAAATCAAAGGCTGAATTGTGTCTGGTTCTGTCAATTCTTTACTAAATAGATAGACCTAAAACTTTAAAATGTGCCTAAAATAAACCAGTTCATGTAATTACAAATAGAATGTCTAATAAAAACAAACAGAGAACACATACAAAAACTGCCATGTATGAATGATTTCACACAAGAGGTGAAGAATCCTTAAATGGTAAAATAGGAACATTTCAGCTCGTATGTCTCGGTCCATAGTTTACGGATCCAGTTTGCCAAGATATCCAGATCAGTGGAAAAGAGTTGTCAAGCCTGAACAAAGCCTGCTTTGGGCCCCAGCAGCTGTCAACAAGAGGATCCGAGTCCATTCATTACACAAAACACACTCAGGGTCAGTTCATTACGCACCTTATACACTCTTCCCTGCTACAAACGCTTTAAAGACACATGGAAGAAAAGCAGCGCTAGATATAGTCTAAACACAATTAGGGATAACACATCATAAAATATCATCTTACTCTTCACCAAAGAATACCAACAGCCAGTACCAGCTGGACACATTATTGCTAAAGTGGTTGAAAAGAGTCAAATATTAATAATGAATCCCCTTTTTCATGCAATCTTCTTCAATAACAGCTGTTCTTTTATCACTGGCTTTCTTTATAACCTGTCACCAAATTTGATTTATGTGCCCAGACAAAGTCTAATAATCCTGAAAAAAAAAAAAAAAAGAAAGCCCCAAAACATTTGTCTGACCTTTGACTCTGGCTGGTGTGAGGCAAATCCTGTGTCTGACATGGGATAAGTCTTCATGGCTGTAGCTGGCAAGTACGGCGTACTGGCTCCTGAGGATACATCTGTGGAAACAATTGGAAATGTGGACTTAGAATTCCTCTAAAGAAAAAATAAAATTAAAAAGTTTTACTTTGGGGCTCAATATCAGAAATATCAGCTACAAAATGTCAGAATCATTATTAGCTTCCCCATTTTAAATGTTTAATTTGTTGTTGTTTATTGATGGAGTTTGAGCCAAGTAGGTTGTGAAAAAGGGGTTAAAAAAAAAAGTCTTTAGAAGTCCTAAGAAGTGACATCTGGAAAATGTAATGATGCTCCACAGTGTGACTAGACTTGCAGATTTTCAGTTATACTACATTATTCAGTGTTTTGGAAATAACAACAGACAATTTGTTTGCTATAAAACTGAAATATGGGGTTCCTCCATAATACATATCATGTGCATGTAAAGACAAGGTTTTCCAAGCTTAAAATGAAATTAGATTAAATTAAATATGCTGTGATTACAGAATGATGGCTTGAGAGTTTCTGTAAAATGGCACATGATGCAGGCAGTTGTGTCTGTAGCTCAAAAAACACATAATTATTCCATCTTACTCACAGCTGTTGTTCCACAGCTTTATTTTTTTTTAAACTTGACAAGAAAAAAACACAATGAACTGTACTTTGCGACATCTTTTAAACTGTTCAGTGACCTTTCTCATGATAGTTAGGCACAAATGCTCCTCCAGGCCTCCCGGTTTGTCTACATCGTTACACATAAAGGAATACGGGACATGTAACATCGATACGATAGAGAACAGGTGCCGAGTGTGTTTATGTGGAGAAAAACATGACACAGAAGTCGTCAGCTTTGTGCGTTTGCTGTTATAAGTCTACCAAACATTGTAAAATGCTCAACAAGTGTCGCAGTCCGCAATATTTTAGATTGAAAAACACTTTATTCTAACAGCATACGGCAGTGTATCAAAATACACTGTGTCAAGTCATAGAAATATGTTGCCTCATACTCTCACGTAACTCTAAAAATAATCCAGCCGTCAGAAAAAGCATCACCGTTGAGTTGCCATTTAGAACGAGGTTTCTAGCGTGGTGGTGGTGACAAATAGGTTATCCTACCTTGACTCGCAGCAGAACAGGCCATGGGGTTGGTTCCTGCGGCGTTCAGACCTCCATCAGAAGGCCTGCCGACGGCATAGTGAACAGCCCCAGCTGATACCACCGCTGAGCTGCAACAATCAGAGAAGGCTGATTTTAGCTGCCTCTCCCCTGCCTTGCTCGCTCATATCTTGTGACAGAGCTCATATTCATAGAAAGATTAAGACAGCTGTATATAGAGCAAGGAAAAGGGAAATAAAAAGCTTCCAACACTCGGAAGAGGTTCGCTCTAGACTGATCAACATGATGTTAAAGCTGAAAAAAAATCACAGCTGGTAACAAGGCGGGAAAACTACCAAGCCATGATCAAGGATAATGTCGTAATAAAAGCAACATTTCTACTTATAATTCTTTGAATATAAATACATAAAAAACCATGTGAAGCTACTGCCTTACGATGAGAGAGCCTATTTTACAACCTGCTTTAAACTCTTTCCAGTTAATTTTTAGAAACGCAAGAAACTCACCTTTCAGTTGTGTACAAAGTTCGATTCTGCAGGTGGAGTTTTCCCTTCACGTGCTGGTCCCAGTCCTAAAATTACATATAGATGGATGGCACATTAAAGGAAAAACCTGAATAAATAAGCATTGAAGCCCAACAGATGTGCATGCTTCCACACAGCTGCACTACATGGTACAATTAAACGATTAGCATACAATCACGCTCTTGTGTAAAAATGCTGAGTAGGATTGGTTGATTTTGATTTCGTATCAAGATGGCAAGAGATGAAGGGACTTTGACAAAGCGTTTACTGTTGGGACACAGATGGCAGGAGCTTCAGTCACAGACTGTTCAAACAGCTATAGTGTTTCTATAAGAACAGTGACTGTGGTGGCATCTGCACTTGGATATATGGGAAAGACATCAGTATACTGAGAGTAACCCGGACTCTCAGCAAGAATAGTCCGTCAGCAGTTACCTACAGAGGGACATTATGGTGGTGTTGCAGTGCATAACCCCCTCATTAACAAATGTAAACGCACATTTGAGAGTTTAATGGAACAGAAAACATAGCAGGCACTAATCTGTAGAGATGTGGAAAAAAGTGACACAGTCAGATGAGTGATCCTTCGCCACAAGTGGTTGAGTGCATGTGTAAGGAAACAGTGCAGCCTTTAGAGGGGATCCAGTGGCTCTGTTATGCTAAAGGGGACATTTTGCTGGCATGGTTTGGGCCAGTTTGTTCCATTAGATGGAAGAGTCACACCAAATCACTGTTAAGTTGTTCTCACTGATCACCTTTGTCCTATAATGAAGCATTTGTATTTTGAAAGGAGTGGTCCCTTCCAGGATGACAATGCCCTCATCCACAGGGCACCAGGGGACATTGAAAGGATGCGTATCATACACTACGGCCTTCACAGTCACCATATCCCAACATAAGTTAACACCTATGGGGGATATTCGACTGATGTCTTAGACAGCGCTCTCCACCACGATCCAAACAACGAACGAGGAAACATCCTTTGAAAGAATGGTGTTCATCCCTCCAATGGAGTTCCAGAGACTTAGAGAATGTGTTTGGCATGTGGTGGCACAACACCTTACTGAGACACTCTATGTTGGTTATTCCTTTGATTTGTCACGCTGCTGTACACATACGCTCCTGTCCAAACATCAAACAGTTGTCCAAACAGCTTGGACACCCTAAGCCCGCGCTTAGTAGCTCCTACATGCCCTCTTGTATGTGCTCATGTCTGGAAGCGATTAGAGAGACAATAACTCGGATTAGTTTGTTATTCATGGGCTGCCACTCAAATCTAAACATTCCCTTGCATTATATAAGCTATTATCAGGTTAAAGCCCCATTTGCTCCATTAAAGCAAGAGCAAATTGTATTGGATTATTGCAAATTAAGGTATTGAATGATTTTGATCATGAAATGAAGAAAAACTGCATTATCTGTATTTTAGTTGAGGCAGGAGCTTCCAGAAGTTAGACTTGTTTCAGAGGTACAATTACATTTAAATAAGATGCAACTCTTACACTCATATACTGTACACATGTTTATATCTTGACTGATAAGTTACTAACCTTGAGGTTGTAGACCTTCTTGTCACAGATGCTACACTGGTGTGGTAGTTGAGTTGGTGTCACCGCATGGTAATCGTTTACTTGATAAGGCTGAAGTATCCTGGTAGCTGAAGATAAGGTCTCCTCACTTCCGTGAAGGGGCTGGTAGCCTCCAAAGCTCTGCGTGCCGCTTGAACCAAAAGAGGAAACCCCAGTACTGCAAATTAACTTGGGGTCAGAGGTCGGCTCCTCTGGGTTATACAATTCAGTTCTGGACCGGATTGGCTGGCCAGCTGCTGCCCAGACGGAGGGATTAGAAGCCATATCCACCTTTCCAGTGCGAGTCAAGTTGGCGTGGCCTTTCCACTGCTCCTTATGCCCAGTGGAGTTATAGACATTCATTTTCTGCTCATTGACATTAAACCCAGCTTGCTGTCCCTGCAGATCCTGCCCATAGAAATCTCTGTGAAAACCAACATTGGTCATGTTCTTTGCCTGAGTGTTAACCACTGAGTACTGTCCATCCCCAGCAGTGGCTGATGCTGCAGACGTCCCTCCAGCAAAATTGTACTGAAGACGCCTGTCAGTGTCAGACGGGTACGTTGAGCCTGATTTTGTACCAAATTCCTCACCCTGTTGGCCCATTGTGCCCCCTCCACAAGGATGGTTCAGTCTCACATTCCCTTGGTTTTGGCTGAATCCACCACCCACCAAGGCCCCCAAAGCTGAATTTGAAGATGGGAAACCCAGCACCCCTGTGGGAAAGGCACCCTGTGGATTCCCAACCATAGATGACGTCCGTAGCTGATTGAACAGGGGTTGGGACATGTTGACATTGGAAAGAACCTGATTGAGAACAGTGGCAGCAGTGGCTGTGTTGCCTCCCTGAGCCAGTTTGAGACGATGGAGGGCGAGCTGGGCCTGGAGCTGAGCGAGTTGGAGGCTGGCTGGAGTCAAGAGGAGCTGCTGGTTCTGCTGCTGATGTCCCGTCTGGACACTGCCTGGCAGCTGGACGCCCACCTGGAGGCCCTTCTTATCGGCACTGTCCAAGGGGACGGCAGTGATGCTGCAGAAAATTACAATCACATGTTAAAGATTTCAAAGGACAAGTCCATTCACACTTTAGATGTTACACAAACACCAAAACGTTTACTCTTAACTGTTCCTCTTTATAAATGGCGTAATATGGATTCAGTCTAACAACTCAGAAATTCAGAGATGCACATTTCCTATGCATAGTTACATAATTCCAGTTAATGCAAATGTAACCGGCGGGTTAGGTCCGCCCGTCACTCGGGGTCGCTGCGCTGCCATTATGGCATTTCAGCCCTTTCCAGGTGCCGCACCGGCAGCGAGTTGCGTAATCAAACACAAAGGCCGACACAGTGTATAAGCATGGGCCGCACAACAGAAGAT